ATAAAATAAAAATATACACATAAAAAAATTTTAAGGGTCAAGAGAGATGGCTCAGCAGTTAAGAGGACTGACTTCTCTTGTAGAGAACCCAGGTTCGATTCCCAGCACCCACATGGTGGTTAACAATCATCTGTAGTTCCAGTTCCAGGGAATCTGACACCTTCTTCTGACCTCTGTGGGCATTGCATGACACAGGTGCACTTACACACATGCAGGCAATACACTTATACACATAAAATTAAAAAAAAATTTAAAGCAAAAAGCCCACCCCCAAACAAAATCAAAACAGGTAAGTCTGCTTTTCTAATCTCAGAAGGATATTAAGATAACTGTACTCATTTGAAACGTAGTCTTAGATGGAAACTAATATTTAACTAAGGATATAATTCAAAACTCCATTATTGACACACACCTTCTGCATTAGTAAGTAATTCACTTTGCCAGCAAGTTACTAATCATATCGGTTTCTGTACTTCTTCAGGAAACAGGGTTTCAAAGTAAAAGCCTGTGACAGAACGCCCTTTCGCATATTTGGGGAGTCAGTTTTCTCCTTCCACCTTTATGTGAGTTCTGGGGATCAAATCCGGGTCACCAGATCACACCAGTGCAAAAGGACTTTACTTGCTGAATGGCATAGGGAGATAACGGAATTATAAAGAAGTTAAATGTGTTTTCAATTGTTTGGCTCAGGTACTGCTTAAAGTGAAGATGGAGCAAAGGGACTCAGAGAGGGGAGGAACTTTGATGTGGACTCCAATCTCTCATTTTCCTGCAGGCTTAGTCTGGAGGCCACGGCCTGCACTCAGATCAGTCTTCTACTTATACCCCCATGAAACCCATTGCCTTAATCCCTGTCTGCCCAGATGAACACCAGAGCAAGGAGCAAGCCACATCCCCTTCTGACCTTGAAAGACACAGCTGGAAGTGTAGACTTTTTCTCAGCAGATCCAAAGTTAAAGAAATCAGTTTATTGAGAGAAGATGCTTCCTCCTTGCAACTCCTGGTCCCTTTTCCCTTTCTGCTAAGCCTTATATCCTTCCCAGGTTTGCTGGCTGGCACCTGAGGTCTTAAATCAAAACTCCATTTAGTTGTAGTTGTAATTTTCCAGCAAGCTAGGGTGCCTTCTGCTGAATTCCTGGCAGTTACCTGGTTCTGGAAGCCGGCTGGGTTTGCCTGCTTTGATGGTCAAGCCGAGCTGACATGCTGACTGCTTTATTTTTATTCAGCTCAGTTTCATGAGCTATGCAGCTCTGGTCAGTGGGAAGAAATGGAACACTGAAGGTAGTATCCAGTGCTATAAAATTATATTTTACTAAACAATATTGATTTCATTTGTTGTTTGTTTAATGTGAGCGTGGGAAGAATCTAGTGATTTCCCACAGAAATTCAAAATGATGGTCCTGTCTTAGTTTGTTCTTCATTGCTGTGACAAAATACTCTGACCACTACCAACTTGGGGAGGAAAGTGTTTACTTAGCTTACATATCCTGGGTCACAGTTCATCCTGGAGGCCAAGGTAGGAACTCAGGGCAGGAACCTGGAGGCAGTAGCTGGAGCACAGGCCATGGAGGAACGCTGCTTACTGGCTTACTCCCCTGGCCCCTGCTCAGCCTGCTTCGGGTGGCACCACTCATAGTGGGCTGGGCCCTCCCATATCACTCATCAAGAAAATGCCCCACAGACATGGCCACAGGCCAGTCCAATAGAGGAAATTCCCCAAACTGAGGCTCCCTCAACCTAGGTGTGTCAAGTTGACAGTAAAGCTATCCAGCACAGTCCCCAAACCCAGAAATTAATAGACATATTTTTCTCATAAAGGAAACATTTACCTGGATTGTCAAATGCCTTCCTGAGGGACTTAAATATAGTCCTTCCTAGCATGGTTATGCTCTCAGGGACTTATTTGCACTTAAATATTAATTATTTAGATCTCATTACAACAAAGGCAAGGGCTCTAGTATTAGCTGGAAATTTTTTGCAGAAAGGGTAGTTGTCATGAAATAATACAGATTAATAATGGCTTAATACTTCAAGGCACAGATTTTAAACTATTTGAAATAATTTTAAGTATTTAGAAGAATTTCTGAGAAAGGAATAGCGTCTGCCCCATCAACCTATCACATACTAGTCACCTATCACACACCAGTCGCTCATTACTCATCTTATTTTTCATCCCCATCCCCCCACCCCCTTAACTGAGAAGCAAATTCCAGGCACTATATTCTTTCATCTATAAATGTTATGTACCTCTGAAAGATAAAACTCCTCTTTAAAACACACATCATCTGCCCAAATGTAACACTCCCTTAATGTCTCACTGTATCAAAGTAGTACTTTAAGTGCCTCTTTTGACAGCTTATTTGGAGCGGTAGCAGGGAAATGCAGCTATTCCTGCTCTCTTGGCGGAAGACTGGTCCTCCTTACTGGGCTCGGCCTGGCGCACAGCTTAGGGAGGGACATACTTTATATGTTCTCATTCTGTTTTCCCCCTCATTATACATTTGTTTAGGAAACAAATCAGCTGCATGAAGTCCCTGTAATCTATATTTATGTGAATATGTTATTTTGGTGGCATATGAGGAATTGTGTCTCATGTATTTTCTGTCAAATAGTAGTTCTAGGAACTGTTCAGATCCCAGTGCAATTTGCTTGGCAAGGCTATTTCATAGGCAATAAGGCAGGTTTCCACAAGAGGGGGCAGTTGCTTTCTTTTTGTGAGACGTCAGCTGCTGTAGCTCTGGTTGATTAAATTAGGGTTACCAAACGATGACATTCCAACTCTGCTGGTTGTTCTTGTATTAGCTTTAAAAATACTTCTTTGAAGAAATGTCCCCCAACAATTCTTTCGTTATTGAAAGATGCAGTTTTTACAGATAGGCTTGGGAAAAAAGATCTGATTTTTTTTTTCCGTACTAGATTTCAAAATAATGAATTGGTTCCTAAGTTCATCGTAAAGTCACAAATGAATTTTTAATACATTATTTTGAATTTATGTATGGCTTTAGTTTATGTTTTAAAATCCACTCACTTCAAACTTACTGACGCTCAAATTTTTCCATACTTGGCTAGGGGAACCTACTATTCAAGTTGCCTCCTGAATTCTTTGACTCTACCAGTCTTTAAAAACTTCCCTACTTCTAGTATGGCATGATGTTCCAGACTGGTTTTACATTTCCTAGCCCAGACCTGGAATTGGTCATTTCTTAGGAGGCTAGTTCTCGGGTGTGGCCCAGGAACCAAGAGTCTCTGTATCCTTTTGTGTCAAAATTGTTTTCATAATATGAAGATACTACTTTCCCTTTTAAACTACCATTCTCTGTCAAATATACAAGGACTTTTCTTTTCAGAGGCTATCTAGTGCATATTATGAGTAAATGATGAAGCAGTTATGACTTCTGCTGTAAAACAGCATTCTCAGGAAATGATTTTTTTTATTAATGCATATATTGGTTTTCTTAAATGTTTTAATTTCTAATGCAGCAAACATTGATATAACCAAACAAAAGCTCTTTGGAGTCCTCAACAATTTAAAATTTAAAGCAATCTTTGAAGCACACATTTAAGAACTGCTTCAAGGAGTCTGGTTTCTTTCCATAGAAAATGGCATTTTTATTAATTTACTTTTTTGTGTGTTTTTTGCTGTTGCTCATTTTTGAGACAGGGCTTTCCTGCAGCCCCAGGTGGCCTGGAATCCACTATGTAGACCAGTCTGGAGGGTTTTTGGAATTATTTAGGAGATTATACCACCAAATAGAACAGTTAGATCCATGTGCTTTACAGTTTGGTGGACTGTTTTTTTGGAAATTTGTTTTATAAGGATGTGAAATATTTACTTGGCTCTAAAGCCAAATTTATGAAATAAGATGTTCAGAGAAATCTAGCTTCCAAGTCTTGTTTACTCTATCCTGTCCTATTCCTTCCCTCACCATTTGAGCAACTATTTAAAAAATCAGTTGTTTTCAAACTGGGTAATGGAGGAAGAAGAATCAGGAGTTCAAGGCCAGCCTCTCCAACGTACCAGGGCCAGTCTAAGATACATAAAACCATGTCTCAAAATAAATAAACAAAATATTAACAAAACTCAGTTTTTCATTTCTATTATTTTCTAAATATCAGCACATATATGTAATATATATAATAGATTTCACAGAGATCTGTCCGCCTCTACCCTCCAAGTGCTGGGATTAAAGGCGCGTGCCAACACCCTAGGCTCCTGTATTTCTTTCTTTCTTTTTAAAAATCTAATATATTCTAGAGGTTACTCCATAGTAGCACACAGAATACTTATTTTACAATGGCAGTAGCGTCCTGTTGCTTTATTGTACCATAGTTTTTTCAACTAGTCCTCTATTTAGGAATTTGGAAAGTAATTTCCAGTGTTTTGCTATTACAAATGCGCTGTGATGAGTATTCGTGCACCTCCTTTCCTGTTTTACCACCATGCCTTTGGGACAGACTATAGGAGGTCAGCTAGATCAAAGACTGAGTGAGCCTATGCCATCTTCCCGGATACCGAGCTGCTTTCTCTTTGCAAAACAGACTGAGCCACCCAAGGTCACTTTACCAGTTACGCATAGGGCTGAGAGTCAAATTTGAATTTGACTGTCACGGTGCTTTAGGTCAAAGAAAGGAATTCCAAGTGTGGGAGGGACAAGCCCGGAGTCATTAACTCACCGGCCGGTCCTTCCGGCTCCCAGTACGAGTTCTAAGCACAAATCTAGCTGCGGACCTCTCAACGCTCTCCATCTCTTCGGGCTAGGAACTAGGAGACACCCCCTCCGGCCGGTAATCCGGGCTCCTAAAACCAACTGGGTGCCGGAGGTGGTGGGGGCGTGGGAAAGAAACACGACACTGGAAGGCTCTGCGTAAGCAGGGATCCTGGGCTTCACAAGCACCGCAGAGGCGTGCCCCGGACGTGACGTCATCACCGCGCGCCACGCCCAGGCGTCCTCGCAAGGTCGCTCTGGGCACCTCGGTGAGCGGCCACGGGTTCCGGAGCGCGCCCGGTGCGTAGCTGGCGGCCGCGGCGGCATGTCGGGGTACACGCCGGATGAGAAGCTGCGGCTGCAGCAGCTGCGCGAGCTGAGGCGGCGATGGCTGAAGGACCAGGAGCTGAGCCCCCGGGAGCCCGTGCTGCCGCCGCGCAGGAAGTGGCCCCTGGAGGCGTTCTGGAGTCCCTTTGGGCGGGACGGGGCCGGGTGGAAGAAGTCGGTGAGTGACCGCCGAGCGCCCCGGTTCTCACGCGCTTCGCGGGGCTCAGCCAGGCCATCCTCTCCACGGTCAGTCCAGGACCGACCCTGCTCCGCCGGCCCCTCCCCGGGATTCCCGGGGGAAACCTGTGGCTTCGGACCGTGATGCCTGCCCTTTGGCTGTCAGCTGTAGCCGACCTTGGGTTTGACAGGTTCTTTCGACCTTCGATCTTTTCCCTCAGAGTGAAGGGAAGAACTGGCTATGTTAAAATGCTGTGGTTTTAGTGTTTGAAGCACACTTGTCTTGCTTTGTAAGGTTGAGGTGATAGAGACGGGCTAGCAGCACTCCTGTGCCTCACGGCACGGGGAGCCCCTAGCAGGTAGGACAACCTCCTGCGATCGCCCCAGAAGCATACTGTTTGTATGCTTTGTCAGTGTCAGCACAAAGCTCCCTTTCTTAACCGCCACTATGTACTTTTAACTCAGGATTTAATGTATTTTTAAAATGTTCATTCCTGGACTTTGCCAGGTAGGAAAAAGAAAATCACTCATTCAAAGACCGGGTTTTTGTTCCTTTTTTGATTTATTTATTTTTATTTTATGTGTATGAATGTTTTGCCTGCATGTATATAAGTGCATCGTGTGCATGCAAGGCCCCGGAGGCCAGAAGAGTGTGTTGGATCCCTTGGAACTGGAGTTACAGGTGGTTGTCAGCCGCCATGTTGGTGCTGGGAACCGAACCCTGGGTCCTCTGCAAGATCAGCCAGTGCTCTTAATCACTGAGCTATCTCTTTAGCCAAAAATTTCTCCAGGAAATTTTTAATTTTCAGGATTACTTTGCATTACGGACAATAGTAATGGGTAACATTGAGTTCTTGCTATCTGTGTGTCTGACATATTCTGAGGGTTTTGCCTGCCTTCATTTCTTTATTTCTATATGGTAAAAGCAGTTCCCAGTACTCATTTCAAATGTGAGGAAAGAGAGTCCTATCAAAATTCAGTAAATTACTCATCACAAAGCTGGGAAATGAAGGAGTTCATTTTGAGACTTACATATATCTGCTATCTTACTGTGTTCCAAAATCTAGTGCAACAAAATACAAGTGTAAATTTGTCTCTGAGAAAAGGCTATTACAAAGTTATGGTGGTAAAACTCAACTCTTTAATTCAGGCTGTCTCTCTCCTTGCGTTCCTGACATTACTTGTTGATTTTGTCAGTTACTGGTGGCAAGTTGATAACTTAGCTAGTGATTTAAGGAATTTAGATAATCATTTGTTGGATTCCATCTTACTGTGAGTGAATTTTTTCTTATATAATCTATACCTGTTGGAATATATGAACTCTAGATTTCTTTCTGCTTAAAGGATAAGTATGTTTCAGACAGGTTGGCTGCCATGGAAAAGTTCCGTTTTTAGCTCTCTTTTGTCTTTCTCTTTTAAAAAGGTAGGGGCTGCAGAGACCCCTCGACAGTTAAGAGCACTGGCTGCTCTTGCAGAAGACTGGGGTTTGGTTCTAGCACATGGAGGCTGACAACTGTTTGTAACTCCAGTTCCTGGGGACCTGGCACCCTCTTTTGGCATTGAATGCATGTGTACACTTACATACATGCAGGCAAAACACTCACAAAAAATAAATAAATAAATTTAAAAGCTATGTCAGAAGGGATGGCAGTGAGTTTACAACTCTCCTATCTTAGTACAAAGTCATGTTTTTTCTTTAAGTGTATCTATTAATGCCTTTCTATTTTCTTGCAAACTGCTACTTGTCCTAAGCCTTGTTTGCTCTGGATTCTGTAGATGCCCCATAGGAGGCCCTAGAATTAGTGAAAATACTGTAGTGGATAGGTTAGCCCCATTCTGTAAGGAAATACCTTCCTTTTAGATGTTTGTGAAGTAAACACAATCTTGTCAATGGTGGGTTGTAGTTTGTGAAGTAATCACGATCTTGTCATGGTGGGTTGCAGTTTGTGAAGTAATCATGACGTTGGGGTTGTAGTTTGTGGAGTAATCACGATTTTGTCATGGTGAGTTGTAGTTTGTAAAATCACGATCTTGTCATGGTGGGTTGTATTTCATTTTGCTTATTGTTCCATACTTTGAAAATTATCTCATGCTGGGAGTGGCAGCACATGCCTGTAATCCCAGCAATTTGAGAGGCTGAGTGAGGAGGGCTGCTGTGATTTCCAAGCTATCCTGGGCTACATAGTAAATTCCAGGCTAGTCTGGGCTAAAGAGTACATCCCTGTCTCAAGATAAATCAATGAAATAAAAAAATAAAATCATGGGATATTTGTTTATTTTGTGCATGTATTTTTCCCACAGATCTTTAAGGTATTCCGGACCAGTATCTTTGCTGTTACTAACGTACTTATACCTCTGTGGTTTGTTCATTATTACGTCAAATATCACGTGGCTGTAAGTATGCTTTAAGTATATACTTTCCAAAATTTATTTTTAATATTGTCCAAAATCACTTCCTGTGGTTATGCTGTACTCAAAATAATCTGCCACTTTAAGTTGATTTTGAAGTTATTTGAATCCTTTTATATAAAAGGTTTAATTAAAATTATGTTTTTTCAAAAGATTACTCTTATGTACTAACCCTTATATTCTAGGTTATAACTTGAGATGCACTTCCCTGAAATAGTATTTAAATGATCAGAATATCTAAACCTAGAGTCCAGAGCAGGAGGTGGAAAGATCATTTCTGCAGCTTTTTTGAACATAGATCAGATACATGATAACGTTCAAAACAAAGTCAGTTTTTTTCATTGCCCCATTTTCCTATCCTTTGTTTTATCAGATTTTCACTATCTTTAGAAATTTGTGTGTCCAAACTTGAATTTTTTCACTTAAAGATCTTGCATAGACTGATGGAGTGGAGCCAGTGGCCTTACTTTAAAGGCTAGGGATGCACAAAGTGGTTGGTGCATGGTATTGGACCCTAGGCAGGGGAGGAGGGTGTGTAGTTTCTGGAATGGCATGGAAGAGGGTAGTGATTGCCCTGTGTGGACTGTTGTAACTCAAATAGTGTGAAAGGGGCATTCTTGTACTCAGGTGCGGGGTGTTGGGTCTTGAGTAGGTTGCCGGGAGTAGGTTGAGCACACCTGTTTGGGGAGCAACAGCGGCAGCAACCTGGCATGGCATATTGGAACTTGAGCAGAAAGAGGCTAGCTGGAGGAAAGGTGATACGGAGCTGGATGAGTAAGACATAAGAACCTGAATAAGGTGAGGAGGTTGAACATAATGGGATATAGTGGTGATGATGAGATTTGTTATATGTAAGGAGATTAATCAAGTATGTATGTTGATAATAACATGATCCAGGATTCTCACTGTTGAAAGGGGTTATGCATAAGAAAAGGGAGAATACCTTGTAGAATGGAATTGGAAATATTGAAGTCATAGTTATTAACTATTCCTGGGTAGATACAGAAGTCAATACGAATGTAATGTAGGTGTGTGGTGTTTGCATGCGTATTCACTAACTGTCCACTAAGAAGGCCCGGGAACAGTGCTGCCCCTTAGTTACTAGAAAACATAGCAACTAAACCTTATTTTCCAGATAATATTTTTCCATTGAAAGGATGCAGAGATTTTCAAGAAATGGGCTATTCCAGCAGGGCAAGGAAAAGATAAGAGGAGCTTGGAATGTATTACTGATCTAGAATGTGTGGTGGGGCTGCATCAAAGAGACACAAGGTGATGATGAAGGGACTTTCACTAGGACAATGTGAACAACAAAATAATACTAATAATAGGTGAGAATCATCCGAGTAAGCAATGAAAATTCAGAAGTCCATATGGATATAGATAAATGAATTAGGGGCTGGAGAGGTGGCTCAGCGGTTAAGAGCACTGACTGCTCTTACAGAGGACTCTGGTTTGATTCCCAGCACCCACATGGTGGCTACGAACTGTCCTTAACGCCAGTTTCAGGGGAATCTGAAGCCCTCTTCTGACCTCCGAGGCATTGCATGACACGGGTTCACTCACATACATGCAGGCAATACACTCATACACATAAAATAAAAATAATAAATATTAAAAAAACAATGGATGAATAAGTGGGTAAAAGAAAAACTTTTTCAACGGTTGCTAAGATTAAGATTAATCTAAAATTCTCATTCTGGAGTGGGAGAGATGGCTCAGCAGTTAAGAGCACTGGCTACTCTTCCAGATGAACTACATTCAATTCTCAGCACCCACATGGTGGCTAACAACTGTCCCTAACTCCAGTTCCAGAGGATCCAACACCCTCTTCTGGCCTCTGCAGGCTTTGCACAACATGGGTGCACTTACATGCGTGCAGGTCAAAAAAGTCATGCATAAAAATAAATAAATAAAATTTAAAAATACCTATCCTATTTGGAAAGTTTGTAAGGGTCAGAGGGATTAGACACCTGCTTCTAGTTAATGCATTCTGTATGTGATAGGGAAGCTACAGCAATGTAATTTCCACAGTATGGTAGTTTAACAAGAGCTGCATAATGACAAAATGAGTCTACATGCCAAAATGGATGAGGGAAATTTCACAGGGTCCCACCTCTGGATGAAGAGCTATAGGCAATCAGTGGATGCTGAGACAGGGAGAATCTGTTTTCTCCAGGGACAAGCTCCCTAACAGGTTATCTAATCCCAAAGTGTGCAGCCCTAACCTAAACACATCTACACATGAGCACAACTAAATGGACTCAGTGCATTTCATATATACACATATATGTTGATAGGTGAATCGAGTCTAGTCCAGAGAAAGCACCAGGACACAGACTACAGGCTGTTGGCTGGGGGCTTTTATAGCGAATTAGGAGGGGGGGATGCAGAAGGTGGGAAAATACTTTTTAAACAAGTTAGGTGGGGAAAAGAGCCCAGGGCTTATCAGGAGAGAACAGCCAGAGGGCTTGCAAAACTGTGAGGCCCTGTTGCACTGGGGGAGGGGGTTGCTGTAGATCCCATCCCTGACATTCCAGCCTTTGGTGTTATAGGATAGGGGGCATCATCGTCGTTGTCGTTGTTGTCTTGCTACTTTCTGCTGAACATCATCGATGTGGGGGAGGCTGGATTAGGGATCAGTCAGACAGCGGGGGTTTCCACCTTGTGCATCTGAACAGGGTCCTCGATGGATGGAAGGAAAGTAAGAGCTGATTAAAATTATTATAAGTTAGTTGTTGAATCTGGCCCTGAAAATATCTGAAGAGGCAAGGAGCAATGGTTAGCACCAAAGTAATAGAAAGCAGGGGGCTGAGTAAGGGCAGAAGCCAGGGAGTCAGTCCTGTAAAAATAGCCCATTGAGGTGGCTGCTGGTTCTGGGAAGTTCTAAGTGAAACATAAAATCTTTTAGGGATAAGAACTCCCAGATACTTTTAACATTTTTGGCCTTTGGTACAGAATACTTTGCTAAAAGGCCCAAGGACAGTTTGACTTTTAGCCAAGAAAGAAACAGGCTACTTTTCTTTGGGGTCTTTATACCCTAACTGCCTCGCCAATTTCTACCTCCTGTTCTTATCACACCACCCTCTGAAGAGGTTTACCCAATTGCCAATAGGGAATCAGGACACAGACTGCTCTGGCTTCTTCCATGCTGAACAGGAACGCAGGGTGAGGCAATTGGGGCACCTCCTTCAGTGGGTCTATCTAAAAGACTCCCAACCAAACGGCATAACTCTTAACTAAGAAAAGAAGGTGCCTAGGAGATAGTAAAGGAAAGAGTAGTTAGCATTACAAGTTCTAGACAGAGAACCAGAACAGGGCAAATTTCAAATGTCCAAATTAAAATCCATTGGAATTTTTTGACAAGGGCTTCCAAAAGCATCCTTTTGTCTGCCAAGGATGGACTCGAGAGTGATGGACTCAGGATTTGTTTTTAGGCACTTTGATAGCTATTGGAGTGGCTAGAATCAGTGTCAGACTCTCAAAGGCTCCTAGATAGGGGAGAAAACAAATTTAGCCATCATTTTAGAGCAATAGTGGGTTGTCTCCCTTAGCTACAGGTAGGCACTACAGTATTGCAGACCAAGATTTGAAGTCCTTACATTTGAGTAGCATTGTCTTATTAGGAACAGAATCATCAATGAGAGATAATTGTCTAAATAACATCTTACAAGAATTTAAGTCTAATGTTTGGTATGTATAATCACTTGAACTCTTAAAGAAATATCCTGATCTTCATCTTTGGTTATACTTTCCTTTTGGGTGTTTAAGACCATACTGTTGGCCCAAATAGACCAATTTATTTTTATTCTTAAGGTCATTTGAGGATTTGGTCCTCAGGGGTCATATGGGCTTGGGAGGAGCCCCTGGCTCCTTAGGCTTTTCTTTTACCAGTTCCATCTATGTGAAGATAAGTCAAGAGGTCCTGCTTGACCTGGGCTTCGCATGAAGGAAATGTTTCCTCTGTGTTGACCCTCTGCTTTTCAGACTGGACACTGGTTTGAGTCTCTCTGGTGGGTTCTCCATGACCTCCCTGAACAAGAGGACAGGTGACTCATCACAGTTACAGGACATGTCAAGAGATTATTCCCATAGTCCCCTGGGACACTGTCGACCTTCCAGAGCAATGAACAAAACTGTCCCTTAAACCCCTTTGTCCAGATTAGTATGGGCTTTAAGTATGGTTATTAACCATTCAAGAAGGTCAGTTGCACCAGCCTGGTACCTTTAATTACTGTGTAATATATAGATAAAGCTTGAACAAAACCCAAATATTCTTAATAAACATTGACTGGAAGAGATTTACCATCACAGGTTAACTAGACATAGCCCAGGAAAGGGACCTTAAAACAAGAATTTCTTAAGTTTGTCTCAAATGAACGCTGTTCTAGTACAAACAGAAGCAGTCTCCTTTTAGTTTTCTAGTTTTGGGAAGGGAAGGAAAGCATTGTATCACATACCTATGGACAGGAAATAAACTGATCAGAATTCAGACCAAGCTTCACAGAAACTGTTTTCGTCTAGATTGCATACATCTGGTTTGAGGAGGTCGACCTAGTTTTTCTGGGGCCAAATCATTTTTGTTATGGGCAAAAGAAAGTGCCCAAGGTAACATTTGCATAATACAGTGAAACATAAAAGACATCTTTCAGGAGTTATAGGTAACCCAATACTTCTCTGTACCCATTTAATCCAAATCTGTAACCCATTGTGCAGTACAAGCCAGGAGTGGACTGAAAATTAACAGCTCTGTATCTCAATAAGCCTGTTCAGACCTTTTGATAAGTTTGTTTAAAATGAATTTCATTATCCCTTCTATTCTGGAAATATCCCGTCATTTTAATCTTTATATATATAAATCACTACTGTAGCCTTTTCAAATTCAGGAGACCATTTGCAATTAGGGCAGAATTACATACAGCTGGCTGGGAAGAACGGCTGGATACTCAGGTGAGGTTATCCCTCCTTTAATGAATAACAACCAT